CTTACCTTTTCATTTTCTTAATCCTGTCTTTTTATAATATGTTCATTCTGTGATCTCTGTCTACTCTAAGGCTATGAAGTCTTTCTCCTTTTCTTCTAGAAGTTTTATAGTTTTCATTTTAAAAAAATTAGTTGTTTGATCTATTTTGAGTATGGTGTGAAATAAGGATTGAGATGCATTATATTTCATATGGATATTTAATTATTCCAACACCATTTGTTGAAAAGTCTATCCCTTCTAACTTGTAGTTATTTAGATTTTATTTCCTTTTATCTAATTAGTATTTGTCTCCCCTATGAGTCTATATATTCCATATATTTGTTCTAATTTAAGGCCATTCCTACTACTTTTGCATGCAGAGAAAGCAGGGAAGAGACTTGCTTACAAGTTAAATCAAGACATGATCCTAAGTTTTGAAATAAGGGACTAGGAAGCAGAGAAAGCCAGTACCATGGTGTGTTAAGGACACCTGGTAAACACTGTGTGCAACTGGGGCTGGATCTGGCTGGGATATGTTGAGAAGAAGTGTAGAGTGCACCTCAAAATTGTCCACTGAGTGTCAGAGAAGGAACCATATATCCACCAACTCCAACCACCATTGGCCAGGGGTTGCCCTAGAAAATTTAACTTCCTTAGACTTCCAGGTTACAAGTAAGAAGCCCCAGGCAGAAGGCAAGAGCTGAGCTGTGTAGAGCATTTGGGTAGGTGTACTCACCTGCTTGCTACAGTGAGTACAAGGCAGGCCAAAAGGATGAGAGGAGGGTCACAAGAGGTTTCTGATACACATTCATGCAACAAATACTTATCAGTGCCAGCTGTGTGCCAAGCATTGTGTTTATCACTGGAGATAGTCATTGAAGCATCATCAAAAAGTTAAGCCCTGGCTGGTTGTGGTGGCTCACACCTATAATCCTCACACTCTGGGATGCCAAGGGAGGTGGATTTCTTGAGCTCAGGAGTTCAAGACCAGCCTGAGCAAGAGTGAAACCCCATTTCTTTTTTTTTTTTGGAGACAGAGCCTCAAGCTGTCCCCCTGGGTAGAGTGCTGCAGCATCACAGCTCACAGCAACCTCCGACTCCTGGGCTCAAGAGAGTCTCCTGCCTCAGGCTCCCAAGTAGCTGGGACCACAGGCACCCACCACAACGCCCGGCTTTTTTTTTTTTGGTTGCAGTGATTTGTTGTTTGGCGGGCTCGGATTCGAACTTGCCACCTTAGGTGTATGTGGCTGGCGCCTTAGCCACCTGAGCCATAGGCGCTGAGCCTGAAACCCCATTTCTACTAAAAAAAAAAAAAGGCTGGTATTGCGGCAGGCACCTATAGTCCCGGCTACTCTAGAGGCCAAGTCAGGAGGATCACTTGAGCCCAGGAGTGTGAGGTTGCAGTGAGCTAGGCTGTCACCATGGTACTCTAGCCCAGATGTCACAAGGGAAAAGTCTTCAGGGAGGAACAAGCTTATGGTGTTAGAGAAACAATGAGGAAGTCGTGGCTGGAGCAGAGAGAGAGGCAGAGGTGTAAGAGGTCAGCAGGGAGGGTCTGGCAGGCCTCGGAAATGAGTTTGAATTTTACTCTGAGTGCAATGGGAAGTCACTGGAAGCTTTTAAGAAGGATTTTGACTTAGTCTTGTTTATGTTTTAATAGCTGTGTGGGGTACTACATGTATTACATACCTGTAAGTATGGCTAAAGTTTGAAAAAAGGAATAAAAAAGTAGTACTATCCAGTACTAGCAGGGATGCAGAGCAACTCTCAGATACTGCTGGTGAGGATGCAAAAATGGGACAGTATAAAAGAATTTAGCCATTTCTCATAAAGGTAAATACACACGCACTATGCACCCAAACAACCCCACTTGTAGGAATTTACTCAACGTGACATGAAACTTATGTTCACACAGAAACCTGTACACAAATGTTTACAGTAACTTTATTCATAACTGTCAAAAACTGTAAACAATTCAATTATCTTTCAACTGGAAAACGGCTAAATTTTGGTAAATCCATATATTATTAAAAGGAATACAAAGGAATGACTGGCTCGGCACCCATAACATAGTGGTTATGGCGCCAGCCACATACACTGAGGGTGGCGGGTTCAATCCCAGCCTGGGCCAGCTAAACAACAATGACAACTGCAACAAAAATAGCCAGGTGTTGTGGTGGGCACCTGTAGTACCAGCTACTCCGGAGGCAGAGGCAAGAGAATCACATAAGCCCAAGAGTTTGAGGTTGCTGTGAGCTGTGATGTCACGGCACTTTGCCAAGGGTGACATAGTGAGATTCTGTCTCAAAATAAAAAAAAAAAGACTTGATAATACATGCAACAACCTTGAAGGGACCTCAAAGGCAGTATGCTTAGTGGAAAAACTCAATATCAAAGCATCACTTACTGTATGATTTCATGTATGTAAAAGTCTCAAAATGACAAAACTACAGAAGTAGAGAACAGATTAGTGGTTGCCAGGGGATAGGATGGGTACATGGAGGCATGAAGTGGGAATAGATGTGAGTAGAAACTGGTGACCTGAGCCTAGAGTTCTTTTGTAGTGACGTAACAGCTATCTATCCTGTGGTGGTAGTTACATGAATCTATATATGAGATAAAAGTGCACACCAATACCTACAAATGAATGCAGGTGGAAACTAAATAAGGTCTGCAGTCTAGTTAGTAGTAAAGTACCAATGTCAATTTTCTGGTTTTGATAGAACACTACAGCTCTATATAGGATGTCACCATTGTGGGGAGCCGGAAGAAGCTTACAGATGCTGTTATTTTTGCAATTTCCTGTGAGTCTATGATGATTATTTCAAAATATAGTTTAGAAATAAAACTCTAGCAGGTGGGTTAAAGGCTACAAAAGACCTTTTCTTTTAATTGGGAAAATCTGCAAATGGATGTGTATTAGATGACATGTGGGAATTACTGTCAACTTTTTTAGGTGTGATAATGCATGCTTATCCCATGTCCACATTCTTAGATGGCATATGATGCATTTTAGAGATACAGTGTCAAAATGTCTACAACTTGTGGTTCAGCAAATATATACTTATGTATTATTTTTATATATAAACACAGAGAGACATCATTTTAAAATACGGCAAAATGCAAACAATTTGGAAGGAGCTCTGTGAGTGATCGTAAGGACAGCAATAGCAGGAAATGGCACTTGGATGCTTCAATAGAGGCCCAGCTAAAGTTGTCTACCATTCTCCCGAGACTTGTAAGTCAAAACCAAACTTCCTTCTCCATGTTGTAAAAACTAGCTCATTTAACAACAACAACAAGAAAGGTAATTTCCGGGCGGCACCTGTTGCTCAGTAGGTAGGGCGCCAACCCCATATACCGAGCGTGGCGGGTTCAAACCTGGCCCCGGCCAAACTGCAACAAAAAATAGTGGGGCGCTGGGTGGGCACCTGTGGTCCCAGCTACTCGGGAGGCTGAGGGAAGAGAATCGCCTAAGGCCAGGAGTTGGAGGTTGCTGTGAGCTGGGTGACTCCATGGCACTCTACCCTACCGAGGGTGAGACTCTGTCGGCTACAAAAAAAAAGAAAAAAGGTAATTTTCTCTGAAAATTTAAAATGTTAAATAAATATAACAATTTGCTTTGCAACAACTAAAATTACCATTTAATAGGAGATTTCTCAGCCCCAGGTCCCTTTTAGAAGTACCATACTGTCTTCACAGCACTTGAATTCAGGAGGTTAGGAAGCTGAGGCTAAGAGCAGTGAGGTGATTTGCCCTGGGGTGATCTGATGGCAGACTCTGCATCTACCTGCTCCACCATTTGGCTGCTTGTAGAGCCCTCCCCATCCCTTTCAACCATTAGCCCTACCCCTTGCCCAACCCAGGAACAGCCTTTATGTAGAGTTATTGTGGGTCCAGCAGCACCATCCTGGCCATGGACATCTCTTTCTCTGGCAGAGAATAGAACTATTCTCTGCAATGGGATGGGTGGTTGCAACTAGGTCAAATACAGGAGGGAAGGGGAGAATATGCAGAAAACACCAGATGCGCTTTCAAGCTTTTAAAAAAACAAAGGCATTAGGGAACACAGATTTTTATCACAGTCTGTTTTATCAGAGGGAGAAGGGGGAAGGGAAGAGCAGGCAGGTTGTGGAGGGAAGAAAGGTGTCTATCCAGCATTAGGTCTGGGGCCCAAAGATAATTACAATAAGGATGGCAATGATGATAACAATAATAGCAGACACTATGCCAAGTGCTAAGCACTCCGATTCTCTCAGGTAACCTCACTAACACATGCAGTTTTTTTCAATAGAGGGGTGGTCCTAGACACTGTGTCCAAGAATACCAGAACTAACAGTCTCATCTCACAGATTGTTGATCCCAGGCCTTAACCACAAGGCTGCACAGAGTGCCTTTTGAAAAGCGCCCCCGTGCCTGCCCCCACAACTGCTGTGGTCGAGAGAAAGGAGGAAATGACTGGAGAAGCGTCGGTCCCTTGCCCCGTCCCCCTTCTCTGGATTTCCTAGGGTACTGGACCAGAGCGTCTTGGCCTTAGGGGTGCCGATTGCCAGTGTCCAGCCCTGGAGCCCGCCCACTGTCGCGGAGCGGACTCCCGGCCAATCAAACTCGGGTGATGCCACTCCGGAGATGAGAGTGGCAGGAAATCAAGGTCAAGGCCCCGGACACAATAGGGCCATTGTGGTTCTTCAGTCAGTTGACTTTCAAGCAGCAGTTCCCTATCCACCCTTGTTCCTTCTCCCCATCCCGGCTCCCTGCCAGGAAGTCGCCGAAACCTATTGCCACCTTATTAGCCTCTGCCTGAACGTAGCCACTTTCTGGATCCTACCCCAGACGCGGGAGGCTGGGCCACCCTGCATTGCCTGTTACGTCCACCAGGTGGCGGCAGAGCACCACATTTCCGAGGGCGGAGAAGGCGGCAAGGGCCCAGCTGCTCACGCTCTGATCAGGGCGTGGGGGAACTCTGCCCTCTTGTTTGATCCAAGAGAAACAAACTCAAGGCAGGTTATACTTTCCCTTACCCTTTACTCCGAGGTCACTGGGATCTGGAATCTTAGGGGCTCTTCGCTCAGCAAACGTCAAAATGGCCGTGTACTGCAGCGCTTTTCCTTGCTGGAGGGGAAAACCACGGGGAAATCTTTTTACTGCGCAAGTCACAGCAGGTGGAACCCTGACAGCCTCTCTGGTTTGGATTACTCGACTGGCTGATGGGTTGTGTTAGTATATAAATGTCATCTCTGAAAGGCCTTTTCTGCGCCCTCACCCCGCCAGTGGTTCTCCCTCTGAGCTGGCTGTAGTTTTTCCTTCTTCACATTAGTTAGAGAGGCATACCCCAGAGGCAGAGGATCTTTGGGGTTAAGACATCTGGGTTCTGACCACCTGGTTTCACAAGCTCACTTCCCCTTCATGTGCTGGGCAGTGTTGCACATACCAATCTATCTGAGCTTCAGTCTCTTCATCTGTAAAATGGGAATAAACATGGCCTCTATCTACTAAGGCCAATGAGGGTTCTGAGAGAGAATGCATGGAATGTGATTGGCATGGGGTCTGAGACACAGTAAGCACTCAGTGGACATTAGTCATCATTATTATTGCTGCTGCTGCTGTTGTTGTTGGAGAAGGAACTTTCACTGAGGCCACTGTCTGAGTGTCCAAGGTAGGTACCAGCAGAGGTGAGGGGACTCCAGGAACAGTTCTATTGCTACCTGTCCCTTGGCAGTTTTCCTGGTTTAGTTTCTTTCATGAACTGTTTTAGGAAGCTGAGGCTGGTGGGGCCTGTTCCTCTTTCCTGGTGGCAGGTCTTATCCTATGGTCAGAGGTCAGATCTGTCTCTGCTGTAATTACCAAAAGGACACCCTCTGCTGCCTCTCAGCCTCCTTGGGATACTGAGGACCCAGGCAAGCCTATCAGTTCATTCACTTGTTTAACATACACATGTCAGATGCTGTGCCAGGCCCTGGGGACAGTATTGAGGAAGAGTTATCTTGTCCCTGCTCACAAGAAGCACATGGGAGTGAGGAGATGGTGAGCAAAGCAACACAGAAAAACTGCATTAATTTCAACTGTGACAGGGAACAGGGCCTGGTCTGGGACATTCCCTGAAGGTGACTTGTGGGCTGGGGGCTGAAGGGTGAGAAAGAGGAGCTGTCCAAGAACATCTCCTCCTCCCCTTTAAAGCAGCCACTCTTGGGAAATGCTACAATGATCCAATGGGCTCTCCCAGGCTCTTCTTGTGCCAGGTGAGCAGTCAGGTGGAAGATTAAGAGCAGACACACTCCAAGTACAAAGGTTCCTCCGGAGATCTGCTGCCCTCACTGAGTTACCTGGACACATACCCACAGGATGTCAGGTTCCAGTTTCAGCCCCAGGTCTGGGGAAGAATGAAGAGTCTTTCAGGGAGGTGGCCAGAAGAAGCCTGCCACATGCCACAGGTCCAAACAGACCTGGGATGGGGAGACCCTGGGCAGTGAGCCATACCCTGAAGTCAGTATTCCAGGATGTTACAACAAAGTGGGATAGGGAGCATGCCTATGGCTCCAGGTGCCCATACACACCAGCTGCAGCTGAGAGGATGGACTATAGAGTCAGGGTGTTGGGGATGACCCAATGGGCTCGCTCAGGCTCTTCTTGGGCCAGGTGAGCAGTCAGGTGGAAGATTAAAAGCAGATACGCTCCAAGTACAAAAGTTCCTCTGGGGATCTGCTGTCCTCACTGAGTCACCTGGATACATACCCACAGGATGTCAGGTCCCAGTTTCAGCCCCAGCCCTGGGGAAGAATGGCTATGTGGCTTGCCACCTCTGGCAAATTACTTAACCTAAGCCTCAATTTTCTTGCCTAAAAAATAGGGGCAATAATAATAACACCAACCTCACAGGGTGGTTTGGGGGACTTAGTGAGATAGTATGTCAAACACCCTGGCACAAATGGGCACTTGATAAACATTAATATTATTTTTGAGACAGAGTCTTGCTCTGTTGCCAAGGCTGGAGTGCAGTAGCATGATCATAGCTTACTTCAGCCTTGAATTCCTCAGTTCAAGTAATTCTTTTACCTCAGCTTCTCAACTCAAGTAGCTGGAACTATAGGCATGTGCTTCCACTTCTGGCTTATTTTTTTCTAAATAGATATGGGCTTGATATGTTGCCCAGACTGGTTTTGAACTCTTGTGTAGGCCTCCCAAAGTGCTAGAGGAATAAGCCACAGTACCTGACTATTATTATTGTTACATACTCTTTCAGTAGCTCATTTATCACAAGATTCTGCCAAAAACTGTTGTTGTCTCAAGGAGAATAAAGCATTCACAAATTACAAAGTTTTCAATAATAAAATTAATACTGACTTTAAAAAAGATTCTGCCAGTTCAGAGATGAGGAATCTGAAACCCAGAGGGACTAAGTAACTTGTTTAGGATCCCATAGTTTAAAAGCAGAGGAGGCTTGGCACTTGTAGCACAGTGGTTACTGCACCAGCCACATACACCAGAGGTGGTGGGTTCAAACCTGACCCGGGCCAGCTTAACAACAATGACAACTGCAACAAAAAATAGCCAGGTGCAATGGCGGGCACCTATAGTCCCAGCTGCTTGAGAGGCTAAGGCAAGAGAATCGCTTAAGCCCTAGAGTTTGAGGTTGCTGTGAGCTGTGATGCCACGGCACTCTACCCAGGGCGACACAGTGAGACTCTGTCTCAACAAAAAAATAAAAACAGAGGAGCTGGGAGTCTGCTTGTAAACTGGCAAGTTTCTTTCACTCCACAGCCTGTGTTCCTGGAGGTGTGGGAGGGAACAGATAAGTGGCTGCCTGGGAAGGAACTGGAGTCCTATTAAATTATATTTTCATGGATTCAATGGATAGGCATACATTTTTCTGGGATTAAAGGTGGAGTACATATTCTCGTTCTCTAAATGTGGGAATCAGACAGGGCTCCCACTGATCCCAGGTGCCCTAGTTTTGGTGGGGTCAGAACAGACAAGAGTGGGGTGAGTAGAGAACAGGATGCAGGTGGACATGGAGTCTTAGGGTCTTGGAGCTGTGCTAGGGCCACCCACAGAGCACTGGCATGCCTTCCTTGTCAACCCGAGTGGCAAATTTCTGCTCACTTGTTACCCCAGGAGTTTGTGGTGCCCCCTCCCTTACCCATCTTGGGCTGGAACAGCTCCCCTCTCCTCCCTCCAGAATGCAGGAATCCCAAATAACAGAAAGGACCATCACTATTCTGATGTGTGTGGGATGACTCTGGTCAGGCCATGCACCATCTGTAAACCTGGGTCCACACCCCTTTTCATGCATTGGGGGGGGGGGCTCTGTTGCCTGCACTCTCATGAAAACCCAAGAATACCTCTTTTGTGTATGTGTATGTGTGTGAAACAGTGGAATTAAACAGTCATGTGGTGGGGATATGTGAGGGTAAGGGAGAAACAGAATATTTCTGAGTTCCTCCAGCTCCTTCTCCAACTCTGGAAGGGGCCCTAGAGGCTGGGCAGACCTGGGTTTGAGAAAAAAGGTGAGATGGGCTGCAGAGTACAGAGAGGTTGCCCTGGAGGCTTTAGGCTTGAGGGTGAAGTGACTTGGTGAGGGAAGGGCCATGTCAGCCCAGCTTGCCTACCCTCTGCAGGCTCTGGAGTCAGTCAGACCAGATTTGAATCCTGATTCTGCCATCTACTTATAAACCACACAAGCTTGGGAAGTCATTTAACTTCTCTGAGCCTCAGTTGTCCGTTAAATGGGATTAATTAAACTCTCCTGAGATTTGTTTGGATTAAAAAAGATAATGAACGAAAAACACCTGAGCACAGCGATGGACATACAGAAGCGTGTGACAAATGCTCTGCTTAGCTGCTGTGAGGGCTGCTGTTAACTGTTACTGATGAAGGCTCTGAGACACAGCTGCACACAGAGTTTGCCTTCTTCTGGGGGAGATCAGACAGGTCAGCTAGGGACCTTGGTCCTCCTAATAATGACATGAGATCATGGGGCTAATATAGGAAGCTCAGAGGTCTTAAAAGGGAGAGCTGCCATCTCCCACTAAATCCCTAGTAACCCACCCTTATCTTATCAGAATGCAGGGCATCCTGGCTGGCCTGTGCAGTGGGATGGAGACCCCTTAGCTGTAGGCAGCTGACTTTTTCCTCTCACTGCTTCTCTGCCTAATCTCACTTTTGTCTTGTCAATGCCAAGGACCAGTTATACCACAGAGCAGGGAAGAGAAAAGGGGTGCTGGGGCGGCTCCTGTGGCTCAAGGAGTGGGGAGGTAGGGAGCTGGCCCCATATACTGGAGGTGACAGGTTCAAACCTGGCCCCAGCCAAAAAAAAAAAAAAAAAAGAAAAGAAAAGAAAAAGAAGTTAAAAGAGGCTCTGAGGTGGGGTGAGGAGATTGAGGAGATCCTCTAGTGTATCAAGGGGAAACGGACTGTTTTTAATCTCAGGTTGAAATTGACAACATTAGATAGTGCATTTAAGACATCTGTCCCCACACTCTCCTGCCGCCTTCGGAAAAGAGCTTCCCTTAAGAGCATGCTGCTGACTGGGCACAGTGGCCAACATCTGTAATCCTAGCATTCTGGGAGACCAAGGCAGGTGGATTGTCTGAGCTCAGGAGTTTGAGACCAGCCTGAGCAAGAGCGAGACTCCTGCCTCTACTAAAAATTGAAAAAACTAGCCAGACGGGCAGCACCTTGTGGCTCAGTGGGTAGGGTGCCGGCCCTGTATACTGAGAGTGGCGGGTTCAAACCAGGCCCTGGCCAAAAAAATAAAATAGCTGGGCGTTGTGGTGGGTGTCTGTCATCCCAGCTACTTGGGAGGCTGAGGCAAGAGAATCACCTAAGCCCAAGAGCTGGAGGTTGCTGTGAGCTGTGACACCATAGCATTCACTAAGGGCAATAAAGTGAGACTCTCTTAAAAAACAAAACAAAACAAAAAACTAGCCAGACATTGTGGTGGGTGCCTGTAGTCACAGGTACTTGGGAGGCCGAGGCAAGAGGATTACTTGAGCTCAAGAGTTTAAGGTTGCTGTGAGCTATGACACAACAGCACTCTATCCAGGGTGACAGAATGAGACTGTGTCAAAAAAAAAAATGAGTGTGATGCTGTTTATGTAAGAAAA